GTAAACTTGACTTTTTTTTACGCAAACACAATTGCAACTTGTTTTGTATTATTTGTCCCTCTCCCCTTTCTTCCCCTTTTTCTCCGGCAAATTACTACCGTTCAGTTAAACCATCCCTACTGCGTTTCACCCCACAGAACACAGAAGAAAGTTTTTCCCTCGTTTGTCTTTTCTTATTTTCTATGTACTTTTGTCTGTTCTTCTCTTGGAAGATCCAAATCCATGAATTTGAAAAGATTATCAATATATGACCAACAATGTCTCTTAAAATATCTCAAATCAATGAACTCCTTTTGTACTTTCATTTTCCTCCGCTTAGTAAAAATAGAGGACTGAAATTTTGTGCTCCATTGAGAGAACTAAATCAACATATTTTTCTCTCTCTTCTCCTCATCGACCCACAAATACTGTGAGAAATTATATGAATTTTTAAAAAAAAATCAGAATCAAAGAAACCAATTATAGATGATAATAATAATCAATTAACCTTTTCAAAACCAAATTAATTTGAGTGTATTACTAATAAATGCTGAATCCAAACCACATATAAAATCCTTGACTTTGATCAAAGGAGTAAAGCATCCAAAGAAAATAAAGCCATCTTATTCTCCTTCTCTCGAAGAAGCCGGGAGCTGGAAAAGGGAAAAGGGGCGAGAGTATGAGGGCTTTACTCATAGGTGAAGCAATGATTTAAAGTTTGTATTCTAAATTTTGCACTAAATTCATATTTCGTCTCAGTTACTGGATTCACAATTAAATATTTATACATATTTAATAAACCTTCTAATACAAATAATAATATCTAAACAAAAGCTACTGATATTTATCCAAATAAGTACCTAATAATCTATAGCTCTGCCAATGTCTTTACTCTGTCGTGGAAAGAGGTAGGGGAGAAAAAAACCCAAGGAGAGGGAGAAATGGTGGGTCTAGTTGACAAAAATTATAAATGTGGTGGTTGAAGAACCAAATAGGGGAGGAGGATATGGCGGCATCATGGTGGTTATGGGGGTGAGGAGGAAGGTAGGAGAGGGGAAGGTGATGGGTCTGATTGTTGGGGACCGGAGGATTTGTAGATTCAAGGTGTATTTGTATTTACCGATGTGGCTCATTTTTCATTGGTTATTTTGCCACATAACTGTGCAACTAATATGTACATAAAGATAGCTCCAAAATAGAAGAGCAAGACAAAACACAAATTAAAATAGAAGGCATTGAAATGTTATAGGTGTATACGGTGAAAACCTGTCTCAGAAGATGAGTGAATTAGGAAGCGACATGTGTCAATCAATAGTGATTCAATCATATTGACACCGGATATAAACCTGTTACCGAATAAGAAGAAATTCAAGATATGACCGTTGCAGTAACGTTAGAGAAGACCCCAAGATTCCTCTCGTCTTAATTAGCCTTTATTAAGCTGTATTACCCTTTAGTATTCTTTATTGCCTTTTTACTACCTTTTATTGTAGCATTAATATAAGTAATCAATTGATACATCATATCTCTATTATAAATAGAGATTTTCATTCTATTGTAAGACATCAAGAAACACTGATAGCAAAAGACTGGTATTATTTCTCTCAAGTTTTACACCAGTGTTACCGAGATTTTCTAATTATTCTTGATTCCGGTGGAAACATTCTGAAGCACAGGCTTGTCTTTTATTTAATTTTATTTATTTTAATCTCTTTGTTCTTTATTACTTTATTTTATCGGATCAATTTAATCCACGTGTCTATAAATCATGATATAAATTCAATTGTACCGTTTTTACAATAAACAGTTTGGCGCCCATCGTGGGGAATAGATAATTGTGGTGTTATTTTGATATGTTCATTTTATATTGATGTTCTTTAAAAGTTTTTTTGTTTTAATCATACTATAGTTATGGCACACAATGATATCAACAATTCGCTTAATGTTGGAACAAACTACAACGGCGAGCCCGTGGACAATCTTCATGATGGAAATCAACAGGATGGTTCAACTAGTGAAACTCGTCTCGATGGGAATGAGCCAACTTCTAACCGGGTAGAAATAAAGATTCGACATGAGAGGAGTCCTACCCCTGATGATATGGATGGTGAGCCGGTGGTTGTTATCGTAAAATGTAGAGAACACAACAATAGAAAATTATGGACCATCTCTCAAGACAAGATCGAATAATAACTAGCTTCAACAAGCAATATCGGGGGCTTCGAATAATTCAAATGGTGGAGTCTGAGTCCCTCCTGGTGTCCCTATAAATCAAATGGCACCAAGAACCGGTAATACCATTACCCGGGGGAAGTTCATAAAAAACAACAGACAAGCATGCGGTGTGGGTAGCGGATCTGGAAATGAAAATAATGCAAACGATTCTTTCAAAGCCGAACTCATGAGATGTATGAGAGAAATAAATTCTCAAATAAATCAGAAGTCTAAGGAATTTCATGCCCAGATAGATCAGTTCCCGAGAGCACCTCCGGTCCTAAAGGGCCCGGACTCGAAAAAGTATTTTCAATTGCCGTTCAAACCGAGTGCAGCTCCATATTTAATTCCAAAAGGATTCAAGATGCTGGATATCCCAAAATATGATGGAACATCGGATCCACGGAAACATGTTATAACTTATACTACAGTTGTGAAGGGAAACGATTTGGCTCCACATGAGATCGAATCAGTCTTGTTAAAGAAATTTGACAAAACCCTAACAAAAGGGGCTTTCACATGGTATTCTCTTTTTCTTGAATACTCAATTGATTCTTTTGAAATGCTTGCAGATTCTTTCATTAAATCTCATGCTCCAACAAGGAAAGTGCAAGCTAGAAAAATCGATATATTCACAATTGCTCAAGGAAACTCGGAGTTGCTACGAAAGTTCGTGATAAGGTTTCAAAGGGAACGCATGCTATTGCGGCAGTACCGGATGAATGGGCAACAAAAGTATTTACCAAGGGTCTCAATCCCTTAAGCTCTTATGCCTCGAGGAAGTTAAAGGAAAGTTTGTTAGAATTTCAAGCAACAATGTGAAAAGATGTTCATAATAGATACGAGTCAAAGATTCGTGTAGAAGATGATCAGATAATTAAATCGACATCTTCTACGGACCGGAATCAAGGTCAATTGAACTTTGACAAGAGGCATTCCAAACATCAGTTTGAACTATACCCGTCAGGATCACGGACTGACATGAGGCAGGGGCGTACCCAAAGCGAGTCGCCAGAAAAATAACTTCGATGAAAGACAATAATATCTACGGATGTTGGGGACCGTTGCATCACAGTAATAGAAATCGCGACAATAAGTACCATCTGAAGATGGCTCCGGAATAATTCGTACAGGATACCAGAGATAGCCCGAACTGGCTCTGGAATAAAGAAAAGGACTGGGGACTGCCATATCAGCCCCGAGGAAAAAAAAATCATAATAAAAAATTGATTAGACCCAATAAATGCAAGTGCGGTCGTAGTACTCTTGCAAGATATTTTTGTTCATTTTCTGTAAATTGTTGTACATACAAAGTTGTAAACACTTGTGTACAGTCATGAATAGAATAAAGAAAAACTTTCACTATCTAAAAATATTCTCGTATATGTTTGAATGAACAAATTCATTCTTAATATTTGCTCATACTTATAAGCAAATAATCATTACAAATCCGAATATTTGTGCTCGGATGAACATGAAACGTCCTCTTCATAAGCACCGTAAACATAAGGGCCCTCTCTTATGAAGCCATCCAATCAAATGGCTAAAGATCGGATGTCTTATTTCCCGATTATAAAGCTAACCGGAAGCATTAAATTTTCGGACTTTATCAAAACCAGAAGTACAAAATTCCTAGTCATTAACATACCCGGTCTTAAAGGTTGGGAGGTTGTAAATGTTTCCGGGTATAACTAAAAATTCAAGAGTCAAAACTCAAAGAAAAGCTTTCGAATGCAACTAAAAACCCAAGAGTGAGAAACTTAAAGAAAAGTTTTCGGGTATAATTAAAAATTCAAAAGTTAAAATTCAAAGATTAAAAGTTTCGGGTGAATACTAAAAACCCGAGATCAAGTTTTCTGTGATGGTGGTACTTTTTCAACGCCAATCGATCATCAACGAAAGAATAATAAGTGGTGGAGTTGTCATTTGAATCCCTAAGTCTGCACTCTTTTTTTCTTCGCCCGGTTTTCATCCCGATTAGATTTTTCCGGCAAGGTTTTTAATGAGACAGTAATGAGGGTGAAAAACTTTCACTTCCCGGTCACATCATAGTGAGTAACCAGAAAGTGGTGAGACTATTTGTATACGGTAAAAATCGGTCTCACAAGATGAGTGAATTAGAAAGCAACACGTGCATGTCAATCAGCAATGATTCAACCATGTTGACACCGGATACAAACTTGTGACCGAATAAGAAGCAATTCAAGATATGACCGCTGCAGAAACGTTACAGAAGACCCCAAGATTCCTCTCATCTTTATTAGCCTTTATTAGGATTTATTACCCTTTAATATTCTTTATTGCCTTTTTACTATCTTTTATTGTAGCATTAATATTGGTAATCAATTGGTAGATCACAGCTCTATTATAAATAGAGGTTTTCTTTTTATTGTAAGACATCAAGAAATACTGATAGTAAAAGACTAGTATTCTTTCTCTCAAGCTTTACACAAGTGTTACTGAGATTTTCTAATTATTCTTGATTCAGGTGGGAACATTCTGAAGCATATGCTTGTCTTTTCTTCAATTCTCTTTACTTTAATCGCTTTGTTCTTTATTACTTTATTTTATCGGATCAATTTAATTCACGTATGTATAAGTCACGATACAAATTCAACTATATGTAAAAAAAAAATAGGAGTGGTAGTTAATTACCAAGAACAACTACTTAAAATGTATCCAAGGAGATGTTGACACCGACTTTGCAAAACTACGTTTAATTTTTGGGCCATGTATGTGTAAGCAGAGTGGTTTATTCCCCCACTTTTTCTTTTCCAGAACCTCAAACGAAAAATAAGAGATTTTGTGTTCTCTTTCTGGCTGACAAATAGGAAATTTCCATTCCACACCCTGTGCAAATTATACATTTGCATGTGGTGGGCGATTTTCAGCACTAATTTTACCAAAAAGACCCTTAGGATAGTCCAATTGAGCCACATCCGTCGGTTTATGCTCCCTATTTATAGTCCTTATTTCCAGATTTCCTTCACCTCTGTGCCATCCATATCTTCCTAACCAAAATTTCACACATAAACAAATATACACATAAATATGGGCTCTCTTCCTCATGTAGTAGAAGACTGTTTAGGTATCCTTCAACTTTATAGTGATGGCTCCATTTTCCGATCAAGTGACGAACAAATTGACTTCAAAATTACTGTCCAAGACGATGGCTCTGTCGTTTGGAAAGATTGCCTTTACGACGAAAAAAACAATCTCTATCTCCGTCTTTACAAACCTAAATTAGCAAACAAGCTCAAAATAGTCTACTTTTTTCATGGTGGAGGTTTCTGTGTAGGTTCACGTACGTGGCCTAATTGTCATAACTGTTGCCTCCGTCTTTCCTCTGACCTACAAGCNAGGGACACGCCTGAGAAGAAAGGAGCGGGAAATATTCAAGCACGGTAAAAAATTAGGTGCTCACACCAAACAAGCTCAAAATAGTCTACTTTTTTCATGGTGGAGGTTTCTGTGTAGGTTCACGTACGTGGCCTAATTGTCATAACTGTTGCCTCCGTCTTTCCTCTGACCTACAAGCGCTTGTCATCGCTCCCGACTATAGACTGGCGCCCGAGTTTTGTCTGCCTGCTGCCATGGACGATGCCTTTACGTCCATGCAGTGGCTGCAGAATCAGGTGTTGTCGAAAACGCCTGATTGTTGGATGAATGAAGTAATAGTTGATCGAATTTTTGTAATTGGAGACTCATCTGGTGGGAACATGGCGCACCATTTGGCCTTGAGGCTCGGGGTTGGCTCGCCTGAGCTGGCGCCGGTTAGAGTACGGGGTTATGTTCTCATGGCGCCATTTTTCGGGGGGAGTTTGAGGACTAAGTCTGAAGCTGAGGGACCTGCTGAACCTTTCTTGAATGTGGAAATTCTTGACAGGTATTCAACTCTTTCTTATATTTTATTTTTGTCTTTGCTCCTTTTTCGTTTTTTGCATGGTCATGACTCATGAGGGCCAAAGAAAACTTTAAAGATTATTTTGACTAGTTAATTACTAGGAATTGTACTATTTTAACCATCATCGCCATTATCATGGAATCAATGGCCACTAAGAGTAAGACACCAATATGGTCAAAGAATTGAATGATGTTCAACGTAGCTAGCATGAACTTTGCATCCCAAATGGAACGTTCCATTTAGTTGCTTTTAATTTGTCGATTTCACTCTTTATTACTCCTTTCATTTCTTTGTATGTGACGATATTAGACTGAAAATAAAGTTTAAGGAAAAAAAAAAGGTATAGCTATAAAGTTATATCATTAAAAGTAAAACAAAAAATTTAATATTAGATAGCACAAATATAAATCATTCTTTTTAGAAAAGCAAAGAGTCACATCAAATAAAAACAAAAGAGGTAATAACTTTTTTTGTTGAGGTAATGCTTTTTGATTTTATAAATAGGTATATATATTTTCAAAATATAATCAAGAAATTCAATACTCTATATATTTCGAACTCCAAAACATTGACAAAAAAGGAGGTACCTTATAGTAATGCCAAGTCTATGTTTTTAATTAATATATTTCAAGAGAGGTGGGTTTCATGCAAAGATATATATATATATATATATATATATATATATATATAGACGCTGGCATTGTAAAATTATTTTATATTTTCAATATATATTACTAATATTTAGTTAGTTAGTAGTAATACTTATTTTAATGATTCACTTGTAATGACATAACTTTGGGATTNACTTTTTGATTTTATAAATAGGTATATATATTTTCAAAACATAATTAAGAAATTCAATGCTCTATATATTTCGAACTCCAAAACATTGACCAAAAAGGAGGTACCTTATAATAATGCCAAGTCTATGTTTTTAATTAATATATTTCAAGAGAGGTGGGTTTCATGCAAAGATAT